TAGACAATGGTAAAGCTTTTTTCTTTCAGGTTCTACGAGGTTTGCAAGTTATCGTAAAAACTGAGCACAAAACAAACAGAACGATTTTTTACATTGTTCTGATAAACAGAATTGTCTTAAACTTTGGAAAATAATGGGATATCACCTGTTATTCTGGGAAATTACAAACAAAATATAGAGTCCCGTGCAAAATTTGAGGGTTTTGCCCAATTGAAGTTATAAAAACGAGTATGGTTCTTCAATAAAACCGTGAAGATTATTCAGCGGTTTTTGAGCGCGTTCACATCGTGGGCTCAAATCGAATGTTCAAAAGTAGTCAGCCTATTATTTTTTATTTTTCTTTTCAGTGGAATCTTATCTGTGACCGCGCAAATCTAGGTGCTACTTCACAAGCAGTGTTTCTGGCAGGAATGTTTTTTGGTTCTCTCATATCTGGCATCGTGTCTGATTATTTTGGTCGACGCATATGTTTATTTTCTAGTCTGTTACTTATGGTAAGGATTTGTTCTCTCTTCTCTACCTCCCTCCCTTGTTCGCGACCATCCCTCTTTCATTACTTTCTTCCCCTTTCACTACCTTCCTATAACTATACTTATCCTTCCCTTTCTACTCCTTTCCTTTTTCTTCCTCCCTCCTTCCTCCCTCCCTCCCTACCATCGCTCCTTCCTTGTTCCTTCCTTCTTTCTTCATTACTATACTTATCCTTCCCTCTCTACTCCTTCCCTTTTTCTTCCTCCATCCTTCCTTCCTCACTACTGTCGCTTCTTCCTCGTCCCTTCCTTCCTCGTCCCTTCCTTCCTTCTTCCTTCCTTCTTCGTTACTATACTTATCCCTCCCTCCCTCCCTTCTTTATTATTATTTATCCCTCATTAATATTCTCGCATTCTTACCTTTCCCATTATTCCCTTATCATTCGTGAAAATAAACTGCGTAGTGGCAGCCATGCATCGCGACTTAGAACCGCACCAATTATCCGCATACAATACCGTAACGAACACTTGCAATGTAAAGGAGTTTTATCTGATCTATAGTTTCTTTTGTGGGAAAATATTGGGCTGAGAACTGCAGTCTTAACCAGCAACTGACTGGGTCTTGATTTCGTGAGAAGTTGGTGCACTTATGGGAGCTGGATCGCCGGAAGCTGGCCGTAATATAGTTAAATAAAAATGAATTTAGAAATGAATTTCATTAGGTTGACCATATAGGATTGATACGAGCCATTTTTCTCTAGGTTCTCTGTACAAGTATCTCATCAGCCGTAGATTGTTTATCTCTGTTTCTTCTCCTTCGCTTTGGTTCAGGCTTCTCGCTACCAGGTGTCATGGTGACCCAGTATGTCTATGTCATGGAATTGGTCGGACCATCAAAACGAACGCTGTCTGGTAAAGTCACTGATTTTGGCTGGGTTCTTGGTGCCTGCTTCACTGCAATGCTTGGTTACCTGATAAGAGAATGGCGGGTGTTGCTTTTGGTCGGCAGTGCGCCCGGTCTTTTATTTCTCTTCGCCTTCAAGTGAGTTAT